TATGAGCAGCAGCGGGCAGCTAGCAAGCAGCGCTGTAGTTGCAGCAAGCAACAGCAGCGACGAAGCGGAGCAGCGCAGTAGCAGGCACGCAGAGCAGCGGCTAGTCGCAGCAGCTGAAGTAGCAGCGAAGCAGCAACGGCGCAGGGAGCAGAACAACAACGAAGCAGCACGGGAGGTCGGGAGACGGCGCGGTCAGGGGCGGCCGAGCGCGCGCAGGCGTCGGCGGCAGCGGGCGAGGCGAGCGCGGCCAACGCAGGCGTGGCGCGTGGCAGGGGGCATGCGGGGAGCAGCGGCGGACGGCGTAGGGTGCAGTCGGGCGTGGCTTAGGGAGAGACAGGGCGCGGGCAACGCAAGGCACGGTCATGGACGAGCTCCGGTCACGGTAAACAACGATGCGCAGGACCACGAATAGAGACCGGGAACAGGGGGATCGGATGAGGATCTCACGGCGGTGCTCGATGACGTGCTCGGGAGGCTGGGGGAGTGCTGAGGAAGGAGATCCGGGACGGGGAAGCGGCAACCGGACGCGGGGAAGACGCCCGATGGCGAGCGCTCGGGGCCTCCTAGCTTGAGCCCTTCGGTGTGGTGATGGATCCGACCACGACGGAGGTCCCCGACATCTTCACGCGACAAGGGGAGGCCGGTGGCCACGGGATCGACGCAACGACGGCGATCAGAACTCGGGGACGAGCAAATTTTCGAGAAGGAGGGCGAGCAAGGGGGTAAGTGAGGGTTAGGGTTCGTCCAAGTCGTCGGGGGTCTTTTTATCCATCTCCTGGAGTGCCCAGATGATCGACACGAGGCAAATCCGGGCGTGCACGGCGTGTGCGTGTGTGCACAGCGCCATGGCCTGCCTCCTCTGCACTGTAGGGGGGAAGGTTGTAGATGGGCTGGGCGTGCTACTGTAGCACTGGGCCATACGTGCATAGTGGCATTTTCTTTTTATCCTATTTAATATTTATAGTTAGCTACTGTTTCACAATTAGTTTGTGCACTAAACGACTTTTTTTGAATGTAAAACTTAGCTCACAAATGAAATGCAACATTGTGGTGTTGCAAAAAAGTTTCAGCATTTTTTTAATCGCTTAACTGTTTTTTTTAATTGAAAAGGCAAAAGTAATTGCTGCTAGTCCACTGTTTTGGTTGCTAGGGTCAATTTGTAATTTTCAAATAATGCTGGTTTTATCTTTATAATTGCTTTGGGATTATTTAAAATATTATGAACTTTTTTTAATTATCTGAAGAAGTATTTTTTTTACTTCCATTTGAAATTTGAATTTGAAGTTGGATTATTACTTAATTGTTTTTCTTAGTGTTTAATGATGATGAATTAGCATGTCTAAACAGCATAACCACGGTTTAGTAATCTGGGGATGTCACATTGCGTCTGTGTGGTCATGTCCTACAATCGTAGCACGCATTGCAGTAAGCATAGCACACAACATACCGGACAATCCATGAAAGCAGAAGCATGCATGTACATGGTTCATCACTATCTTAGTAAACACATGCTTCATCGCTATCATACCAAGCATACCGAACAATCTATGAGCACGAACATATATCTACAACAAACAACATGCTACAGATGGACCACCAATAGCTACAAATCACAGATCTAAGCACGAATCAACACAAGCACAAGGTTCAACTTCAAACTCTACTACTAATCTAGCCTACCACATGCTTGAACATCTAGCCCTACCACAAATTGCAACCGCACCATAGCAATCAACCCTAGTTGCAGCTCAGATCTAGCTAGAAGGAACAGAGAGAAAGGGGATTGAACTCACAGAGGTCATGGCTGCAGCTCGAGGACGATGGGGGACTGCCATGGAAGATCAACGCCGGCCGTGAAGTGTGCCGACGCCATGGACCACCGGCCGATGAAGATGTGCCGCTTACCTGCTCGTCGGTGCCGATGCGCGTCGGCGGGAAAGCTCGAATGGAGGGAGTTGGAGCGGTGAGGAATGGGCTAAATAGGGGTGGACTCGGCGGGAGGTGAGCCGAAATCCTCCCGCCGATTTTTCGGCGACGCGGGCGAGCTCGTGCCATCTCCCTGCTCGCACGAGGGGAGAAGCGCGTCGCCCTCCCCTGCCTCGCCCGAACCAGACTCGCGAGCTACTACCGATTCAGACGTTTCCCCTGGGCCTGGCCTGGTCGTGCTAAGTTCCGTGCGATGCGTGCCGCACAGTGAACGCAGGCTACCAAACAGGCCCAATCTTTTCCGCACGGGCCAGGCTGGGCCATATGCAGTCAACCAAACACGCCCCTAGTGACTCTTGATGGACCAATATTAGCCCAATTCAGACTACCATGCATAAGAAAATTAGGTGCAAAAACAAGTCAATTGTGTTTATTTCCTTAATAAGCAGGGCTTGAACAACAATGAAACATGCACCTGACCACTTCAATAGAAAACATCAGGGCATGGGCATTAGTTGTCGTTTTATTCATGAGAATTATTTCAATGCACCTAATGCAAAATAAAATTTCATGAGAGAGCTATTAGCCCTGCTGGGCACTGTAGAATTTACAGAAATCACTCGATGTGGATGATTCGAGACAAGCACCAGTCAGTTTCGAAACTGTAGGTGCAGAAATTAGTGGGTGTGGATGATTCCAGACAACTATCAGTCGGTTTTGAAACTGTAGGTGAGTAGTACTTATAATCCTCCATGATAATTCAGTTGTCTCAGCCGCCTGTTGTACGTACATCCTAACAAAGAATTGAATTTTAGTACAAATTTGTACTACATCGCCAAGGAGAAAGAAGAAAAGTTTAAACCATTATAGCAAAGAAAGAAAGCAGAACAGACACAGCCAGAGCTCTTCACCTTTCTCCTGAAGTGGGTTTGCTAGGTGAAAGGCCCGCGGGTGGTCGGATTATCAGGAAGCGGCAGCCCATCTACTCTTCATCCGTGATGCAAGATGAAGTGGAAAAAGGCGAATCCCCTCGTGGAAGACGGGAAGACTACGCCTCGGCCATGTCGCCCGCAGCCCGATCTGTTCCTCTCTCTCGACTCGAGAGTCTCGAGCGCCATAGGTTTTTTTTTTTTTTTTGAGAAAAGCAAAACAGGTAAGAGACGGGGGCGCTGCGAGTACTGGGCTGTATGTGCTCGGTCATGTAAATGGGCTGTACGGCCCAGTTTATGAGAGTGCTTGGTTTTTTCTTCCGGACTAGCAGCCCCTTATAGTGCCTAAAAAAAGCAGCCCCTTAGGACAGCACATCCGATGGCCAAAAACGGACGGCCGAAAACCGAAATCGCTGTGAGGGCAGGGATTAGGTGCGGTTATACTGTCCTTAATATGACGTGGCATTGCAGAGAATATTATAGTATCATATTATGATGGAGTGCATCAAATAGAAAAGTTGATAAGAGATAGATCATATCTGCAACTTTGTGTTGTGATTCTACAAATAAAAATGAAATAACACAATGATACTAATATATAATACTATGCAATTGTAGTGATTAAAATAGTATGATGCACCATGGTACTAGCACATGATAATGCATTGTGAGTGGCCTTATGGACAGTAGACACATATCTCTACTCTTATAAAAAACAAAGTTGGTGATGATGGTGTGTCTGCCATCCTGCAATATAGGCCGTCCGATTTATATCTGATGGATAGGAAGGAAACTATGGCAATTTTGCAAAAAAAAAAAAATACACACACCCCTCTTCATATTTGCAAATAAGATAAGGTCTTTCCTCGTGCATTCTTTTCTCCCACAAGATAAACTACTCATACAAATATATCTTGATATTCCATACAACGCATGGGCATCTTGCTAATACTAGCAAGAAAATAGTATGGCATAACAGTTACACATCAACCTCACACCCTACAGAACTACTTTCCCTTGCAGAGATGAGCCACCTGGATAAGAGCAAGCTCCATTAGTTTTAACTAGCATAAAGAAAGACAATACAACCGTTGTGCCCAGTTCATTGTAGGCATTGAATGTCCATCATCCTCTACCCCTAGCCTCTGGCGGTGACCGTGCACTCTCTCATCAGCAGCTTGTCCCCGTGCAGAACCAAGCACATCCATTACTGTCCCTCATGAAAAAGGTGGGGTTTTCTTTTCTTTTTTTGCGAGGAATCCTCTTACCAACGGAACCTTTTTAGTTTTTACATGGAGGGTGGACGGACTCCATCCGCAAGGGTTCGGGAGAAGGAATGAGAGTTTATTGAGAGATTAACCTTGGGCAGTTGATAATTACTAGTTTCAAACCCGTGTTTGGTGTGCGGTGAGAATTCAAGAGAAAATTACATCTCATGTGAATTAATAGGAGGGAGCAGGGAAGAGATTCGAAATTAGCCTCCTTAATTCTATTTGCGCTTTCATCCTGGACTTTTTTGTCCCCTAATGAAACAGTGTCACATATCCTTGAAACTCCCATTCCCCTTAACTGCTCTTAAACAAACACGTTGTGAGGCTGAGTGCGGTAATACTGAGTAATATTTCAGATCACGCCTTACTACTGTTGCGAAAGACCATGGAGCCATAGATAAGACGTTTATAAGCACGAGCTAGAGAAGAATCTGTCTCAGAATAACAGGGTATTACTTAGTCACTTCATCATCAAACAATGTAACAGGAATCGACGGTCCCGCCATATGTTTTCGACAGCCTCGTTTTATCTTGATCGCAAACTAAAAGCTAATGCTATTACATCGTTCCATTCTCAAATGTCAAGCAAGTGATACAGGAATAAAAGTACCCTCTGGTCTCTGCTCGGCCAGCATCACTGCGGTTAATCCAACAAACACTGGCGGTTTTATCTGCCAGGATCCCTCCGGTTTATTTGCTCGAAACAACAGTTGCCACACGCACATACACATGCTCACAAAATTGGATAGTCCAAGTCAAATCTTGGTACTATATTGGTAAGTCGGTGCCAGATACCCCTTCACCACCAGACACAGGTTACAAACAGTGCTTCTTTAGGATTCACGTGCTCGATCAAAACTTACCTGTTAGTTTATTACTCTTGAGATTCGCCTCTAGCTTTAGCCCGCCTCTCAAGTTCTGCAATCTTCTTCTCAAGAAACACAACCCGATCGCTTAGCTCAGCATTAGACTGCTCTGACCCATTGGCTGCGGTGGGTGAATCACAGTTGTCTCCAGTGGGTGAATCACCGTTGTTTCCAGTGGGTGTATCAACTGCTGACACTGGCTTTGGTGCCTCGAAAAGGTTGAAGGTCGACAATTGCGCAGCTTTGGGCTGTGGTACAACCTCCGGAAGATTCAAGAAATACCTTACGGCTGTCTTCCGGAGAGCTGGGAGAAAATTTTGGAAGGAAGGTATACGCATTAGAAACTAGGAAAGGAGACAAACAGAAGACATGGACATGAGCAAGGTTTCAAATCTGGAGAAGTGACTTACCAAAACCATACCCAAGAGAGAACAAGTTTGCCGTTACCCAGTAACAGAAAATTGCCTGCAGAAGCAAAAAAGAGTATTAATGGCAGTGCAGAAGAAAAGAGAAGATATAGACAGTGAAAAGTGATGTTAATGCTGCAAACAGAGAAACTTAGCTATGTTAAGGTGGATAAAATATGGCATCAATAAAAGACGATACTCCCTCTGTTCCATAATATAACAGCGTTTTTGCCACTACACTAATGTCAAAAACGTTCTTATATTATGGGACAGAGGGAGTAGTTATTAGGTTAAGCATGAAACCACTGGCACCACGTATATTTATTTTTTGGGGATGGACGCCACATATTTCTTGCGGAAGTGTGCAAGCAACAATTTGTCGCATATTTGAGTGTGGATAACAGCTCTAGCTTATTTTCTTAAAAAAGGATTTACATATATTTCAATCAATCGGTGTACAATTATCTTCAGCAGTTAGGTGGACAAAAACAGTTCCTCCTTTAGGGTACAAACTCAACTGTATCTGTCTATCTGAAGCACTATGAACACCTAAATGGCAGCTCCAGCTGAACCATGCAAGATAAATTTCTGCTCTAGCCCTCCCCCAAGAAATCAAGGGAGTAGCCCATACCCGTGTTATTCCCAACTCCAGACCACCATGAAAGCTTTGACAATGGTGCAAACAGGGCCTCAATACGCACCAAATTGCCTTACATTTCAGGTAATATCAAGCCCATGTATGCATGAATAAGACTACTAGGGAAGACTGATTGTGGTCGTGATCATAGAGAAATACTCCCTCTGTCCCAAAATTCTTGTCTTAGATTTGTCTAAATACGGATGTATCAAGTCACGTTTTAGTATTAGATACATCCGTATCTAGACAAATCTAAGACAAGAATTTTGGGACGGAGGGAGTAGTTACTGAATGGACTTTCCAAGTTATGGGGCAAATTTTGCCCAGTTTCAGAAGCTAATCTGAGGCAGTACCCAAAAAATGGTCACTATAATTGTTTTCCAACAAGCCCAGATTTAGTAATTCATTAGGAGAGGGCACTTAATCATGCCAATTTACCTGCACTCCCAGTATGTTCAAATTCATTACAGATAACTTCTAGTTAGAATTTTATGGGTATGATTCATAAAATTAATAGTCTTGAGTATTTCATACCTTGGGAAAGTGCATTGTAAATGGTATAGTCATAAGAGCCAATATTCTAGAGAAATTCTTCATCGTTTGCAGCATAGGATTTCCCTCCATACCTTCTTGCATATTGAGCTGAAAAACAAATATTTTCTTATCTATATAATAACATATAGGACATAATTATTGCATCGGCCAGGGTGCACACCTCCACCGTAGCCAAGAACGTCACTGATGTCAACACTGGGAGGATGTAAAGCTCATCGGGAGTTGTCAAATCAGTAAACCAATATGCTCCACCCCCTTTCAAAGAAGGGACTTTCTCCACCATGTTTTGTATCTACAGTTGAGACAGAGGCATAAGGTGGAAGAACATTAAAAGAAAGAAGATCAACATTACTGTAAGATGGCAGTATTATAACGGTGTGGTTGTAGTTAGAATTTTTGACACTATACAAGGAAGTGGTATGAACTTACAGCGAAGAAAAAGCTCATGAATATAGGCCCTTGGATGAGTAAACCCTTTAACGGAGTCAATGGATTAACACCATGCCTGACAGCAGACATTAATAAAAAAATCAAAACAATGGAAATATTTTTGTATGACTAAAAGAAGTAAAAGACCACAAAAACAATAATAGAGGTTAAAGCGGCAAAGTCAAATTCTATAAAACATGGAAAAGCACGATTACTGATTTGAGCAAAAAAAGGCGGTTCCTGAGCACGGATGATAGCAAGAACAATTTAATGACCAACAAAGCAATTTCAGAACCTAAAAGAGTCTACAGAGCCCAAGGCATTTAAAGGAACACGGTCTGAGTTTGAGAAACCAAAGACATGAACGTAATGTGATTAGTTGGCAAAATTGCACCAAAGCATAGAATTTTTAAACACAGCAGGCAAAATAAATAACTTCCAACTTATATTCGCGGGAAAATAACTAAATAAGTAAACCATTGGAAGTTGCATACTTTGTGAATAGCTCGCCCAATTTCTTTTTCCCCTCTAGCATCGATTGTGGATCCATTGACTGCAGGAAAACATGAAAGATTATATCATTAGGAGGGTACAATATAAATTGATTTGAACTAAAATAGATTTTATGTTCCCTGGGAGTGTAAATTGTCTTGGACAAGATTGAACTTAGGTTCCTGGAAACGCATTCATTTAGCATCAGTACTATCCAGTACGAAAAATTAAGTGTTGCATTATTTGTAAACATCATACCTTGGTCAATTTATAACAGTCAACTTTGACAAACATGGCTAAGAAAAAGGGTTAAGGATGATAATATCGTTGATTATATATACTCCCTCCATTCCTAAATATTTGTCTTTCTAGAGATTTCAACAAGTGACTACATACGGAGCAAAATGAGTGAATCTACACTCTAAAATATGTCTATATACATCCGTATGTGGTAGTCCATTTGAAATCTCTAAAAAGACAAATATTTAGAAACGAAGGGAGTAGATCGTAAATATGCTGGAAGACAACTTTCACCTTATATGTCTCCCAAACACTCCAAATAACAAAAAAAGTATGGTTTAGTAAAGGGGGGGCAACAAATAAAATTGACATGGAAAAAGGCTACATGTGTAGAATTGCAGAAAAAAACCAGCAAAAATATGATCGCAGGAAGTTGCTGTTAATACAATTATGGTGTCTACAACAAACGTGCCTATAGTGAATTACCATATAAAATGCAACTTGAACTGAAGAAATAAATCTACTTACATTACGCATTTCCATGTTGATCGCCTCAATTTCTGGCCTCATTGCCTGCATAAAGTAGGAGTTTGTAAGAGGAAATTCAAGTGGGTACCTTGCAGTCACACGAAGAAGCACGCCAGACATATAATGTGGACAGATTTAAATAAGAAAAGAACATAACAAAAGGAACATCATATAACTATTTCAGGCCTCTCAGAAACATTGAGTGACATATAGGATAGTCTCATATAACTTCGTGGAGGCATATCGAATTTCATCTGCATGATATGATGTTTCTTTCTATGTCCTCAGCTACAAGCCTTCAGCCACAGTATGGCAATCAGAAGTGAAGATCAAGATCGAATTAGTTGGACAGGTTAACCGAAAATATAACGCCAAGAACTGTATCCCCTTTAATTTAAGTACATGAAGCGTTTGAATTCTCATTCTACTCCTTGGCATAACAAAAAATGGGGGGACAGCACACTTTTGTCGAATGCATGTGGCTATACAATTTCAATTTATGAATCAAATGATGACATAAATGATTTTGACCCAAAGAATCGTTTCCATGTTGCTATTTAAGGCTAAAGAATTGCAGGCCACTGGAGCAAATGGAGACAATACATTCACATGATAACTCAACTGCAGTTTACATGTTAGCTGAAAGAAAACATATTTGGCACATGCAGCCATCAAATTCTGCCATCCCCACTTGACCTTGCATTATTATCTCTACCACCAAGCTTGAATCGAGACATCTAAAACATACTACATGTTAAATACACGAGCCTGCCTTCACTACAAATTGCACAGAATTTTCAGTGTTCACCGTTATCAAAGATTGAAATTGGTAGGTTTCTATAGAAGTTTGGCATAAAACACATCGGCAAAAGGCAGAACGGGCATACAATAAAGCATACATATAAACAAACAATATAAGTTACTACTCAAATGAGCTCATTACATTCAGCTTCATCGTGGACTTCAGCTGGTTCACAAGCAGCGGGATGGTCACCGTTCGGATCAAGATGGTCGTCACCGCAATAGAAGCCCACCTACAAAATGACCAAAGTTCAGAACTTTATCGCAGTTTACTTGATCCAAAGTGGAACGGTATGGCCCCCAGGTGCTACCACGTCAACGAGGCTTACCAGTTGAGCCCGGTGAACGAATGGACGGCGTCGATGGCGTACTGCAGTGCCGCGACGGGGGGAAACGAGTCTGCGGCGGCGGCGGCCACTTCCCCCGGGAAGGGCAACGGGAAGGCGGGCGCGACCAAGGCTGCGGCGTCGGAGAGGACGCCCGCCGCGACATCCATCTGGCCGGCCGCGGGGTCGGTGAGGATCCCATCGATCTGCGGTCCCGGGGAGGAGGTGGAGAAGCTGCGGTGGGCCGCGAGGTGGGCGCCGAAGGGGAGCGGGAGGGCCAGGCCCTGGGATCTCGAGCGCCGACGGAGGTCGCCGGAGGGGAAGTGCGGGGCTTGCTGGGTGGGGAACGGGGGGCCGGAGGAGGAGGAGGAGGAGTCCTCGCGGTTGTTGTCGCGGTGGGAGGAGGGGACGAGGTGGGAAAGGGAGGGGTGGAGGCGGCGGGTGAAGTGGCTGGAGAGGGTGGTGGCGAGGCTCCTCCGCGCGGAGAAAGCCATGGCAGGGGCGGCGGCGGCGGCGGGCGAGATCGCGTGGGGATCGGGGGAGAAGAGAGGGTTAGCCCGCGACGAGGCGGATATTCCACTCGCGGTCGCGTTACGCTGCTGGCATGTGGGCCCTACTCGCCAGTCTCCGTGCCGACGTGCCTTGCGCTCGGTGAACTCCCACGGCCCGACCTCACATCGCAGGGAGTCCTGGCCTTAGGCATCTTCAGCCCTTGGTCCCCCACAACGCATAAAAATCGTCCCCTGTAGACGAGCCGGCGATACAATCGGCGCTGAAGCGGTTTCGCGTCCAGTCTTGCCCCAACTCGTCCCCAGGCGTCGAAATTGGCCCACTTTGCAGCCCAATTTCGGCGAATAAAGGGCCCATATGGGCAAGAATAGTTCCATATTCGGCGTGGTTTCGCCGTGTCTCAGCGTTTAATTATCAACACAATTATTTCTTATCACATATTTCATCACAGAAAAATCAAATACTTCAACAAAATAGTACAACAACAAATAGTTCAATACAAATTATATAGTTCAATAAATAAAAACTCGTATTTCATCACACGGCGTCCCCCTTGAGCCTTCATAGGTGCTCAATCAGATCTTTCTGCAGTTGATGATGCACCTGTGGGTCTCGGATCTCCTGACGCATACTGAGATAGGCAGTCCAAGTTGCCGGTAGCTGGTGATCAACTTTGGCTAGAGGACCCTGCCTGTAGTATGGTTCAGTGTCAAACATTGGGTCTTCTTGCTCGCTCTCGATGATCATGTTGTGCAAGATGACACAGCAAGTCATAATCTCCCACATTTGATCTTTGGACCAGGTCTAAGCGGGGTACCGAACAACAGCAAATCAAGATTGGAGCACACTAAATGCCCGCTCGACATCCTCCTGCAAGCCTCCTGAAGCTTCGCAAACCAGGCGTTCTTGCCTCCTGCCACAGGGTTTGAGATCGTCTTCACAAATGTCGACCATCTCGGATAGATGTCGTTAGCTAGATAGTACCCCTTGTTGTATTGGTGCCCATTGATCTCAAAATTCATCGGAGGAGAATGACCCTCAACGAGATTGGCAAAAACAGGAGAGCACTACAGCACGTTGATGTCATTGTGAGTTCCTGGCATACCAAAAAAGGAGTGCCAAATCCAGAGGTCCTGTGTAGGGCGGCGGCCGTCGCCGGGATATAGCTAGTGGTGGCCGAGGTCGCGGGGGGTGCGAGGCGAGTCGGGGGAAGAAAACCTTGACTTTTCCCCTGTCGGTGTGGGCCAGGCGTGCTTTTTCCTAGCGTCGGAGCCCCCAACTGCTCCCCAACATGCCGGGTTCGGCCTGTGACCGCCGGGCGGAAAAAAGGTCCGAACCGGCGATTTTCGGCGTCCTGCGGGCGCGACTGGACCGTTTTTTCGGCGCTGACGCCGAAAAAGTGGCCTGGAGGGCCCTGTTGGGGGCGTGGCTGGAGATGCCCTTAGTTGCCGATGCTCAATACAAAAAGTCAAGTAAAAAGTAACTATTTTAGAAAGGACTTTTATAACTACCAAACGTTCGGATTTTAGCAATAGGCAAGAATGATTCTTCATTCTAATTATATATATGCATGTATTAGAATGACTAATTTTTCTTTCACGTGCACTCCTCCCTCTAATTATATGCATATATGCACTAAAGGACGAAAAACTGATGTTATCCTAGATTCTTTCTTTTTTCAAATTTCAAAATGTTTTGTAGCTCAAATTGCCGCTCCGATTGAAAAACTGTCTTCACAAAAAAATTCGTCTCGACGAGATCTTCGAAATTAGATCCCATATTGATATGTTCTGATAACTTATTTTTCGGACCAAAAGTTACCACATATGGGCTACGTAAATTATCACGTCTGTAATACATAAGTTTCTTGTGGTATGTTTTCAACAAACTTTTATCCCAGGGTTAAAAAGTGATTATGATGTTTGCAGTGAGTTATCAGCTTTGTTGTTTATATTATCATGTTGCGCAAAAGTTATCGGGTTATGTTTTTCAACAATTATAAAATTACCGCGATATTTGTATATGAGTTATCAGCTCTCATGTGCGTGTATTATCATGTTGTTTACGCATGATTTATTGGGAGGTGTTTTTAACAACATTTTTCCTTGATATATTCAGACGACTTTTTTTCGGATAAAAAGTTACCATGCCTATACTGCGTAAATTATCACATCTTTGGTACATAAGTTATCAGCTTGTTTCCACAAAAACTACCAGGGCATAAAAATGATTTCTCTTACCTTCTCCCCACATGCATGCATACACTAAAGGACATAAAAAGCTAATGTCGTCCTACATTCTCCTATTTCTAAACTCAATTTTTTTACCTCAGAAACCGTTGGTCTGATCAAAAAGTAGTTTCAACATAAAAAAAATGACGCGACGGGAAATTCAAAAGTAGGTCCCATGTTGGTATATCCCAGATGAGTTTTTTTGATCAAAAAGTTACCAGGCTTGGGTTAAGTAATTTATCAGCTTCATTGTCCGTATATTACCATGTTATTTACACGTGAGCTATTATGGTGTTTTTTACAACTTTTTTCTAGATAAAAAAGTTATCACGCCTTGGCTAAGTAAGTTATCGGATCTGTTGTCCTTATATTATTATGCTAGTACACATGAGTTGAGTGTTTTTCAATAACTTTTTCCCGAGTCAAATAGTTACCATGCTAAATAAATTATCAGCTCTGTTGTGCATATATTACCGTGCTAGTATACATGGGTGACGGGGTTTTTTTCAATAAATATTTTCCATGAGTCAAAATAGTTACCTGCCTGGGCTAAATAAGTTATCAGCTCTGATGTACGTATATTACCATGCTAATACACATGAGTTATCAGCTCTATTTCAACAACACCCCTCCCTCTTTCAAAGTTATCACAAAAATATTTGTACCTAAGTTATCAGTCTTGTTGTGCGTAAATTATCATCATATTTACAAAAAGAAGTTATGTAGGTCTAGGAGGCGAAACATTTATATAGGAGGCGAAACACTTATGTCTCTAAAAATTGATCATCTGTACAAAAAGAGACAAGTACAAACACAACACATCGTTTATTAAAAAACTTGGTCCAAATGGTTCTTCTCATTATGGAAAGCATTGTTGTTTTCTCACTTTTGAATAAAGTATAAATATCAGCTAACCTGTAGATAAAACAGAAAGGTGGGTTTAGCCCAGTTGATAGTGAATCGGTATCTTATGGAGTAGCGCCTGTGTTCGACTCCCTACAGGTGCACTTTTTTCTCGGCCATATCTTTTCGCGCGCGAGAAGCACAACGAACGTTCGGAATTTACAAATTCCGTTTTATAAAAAGAAACTTAAAATACATCAATAAGTTCTTTTTTGCAACATCAATAATAGTACTAGTTTTTTCCAATATGAAAGGGCTACAATCCAGAGGCAAGAGTTCCTCAATATATCAATGAGTTGTTCCTAAATTGCAAACGAGATCGTCTATCTATATTAAATAAATTGTCATACTCCTAGGAGATAATCCACCGCTTCGTGCCCTCCTAGATTATCGAGTGATTCTTTTGATAAACCTTTTTTACGTCAAAATTGAGCCTTCCCGGGCGGCCCTGGGCCTAGGCGGCGAGTGCGGCCGCCTAGGGCCCAGCCCGGGCAAGGGCCCACAAAGTTTTACTAAGACCTTCCTCAATGCAAAGGTGCCTAGATGGGGTGCTAAGCATATTAAATGCTTTATTAGCAACTCAAGTCCATAATGCAAAGGTGCTAAACTTCATGCATTTAATTTGTTGTAGACTCAAAATTGTGCTTTCACCTAGGTATACGTGCTTAGCACCGTTTCTTTCTAGGATTACCATACTACTCTCTCTTCTTAACTAGCATGCCATATCATATTTTTTGTTTAGTTGACAATCTTAGCACTTGTATAAGATGGTGCATTAGGAGGGGCCCAAGGAAAGCCGATGCGGCAGGCCAGCCCATTAGGCGAGGCGCAGTAGCCTGGCTAATCGCTTCGTTATTTATTCACCCTAATAAATGCTAGTCGCTTGGTTATCTCATGGAAAGCGAGATAATAAGTGGCAGCTCTAGCCAAAGCTTTTTTCCACCTTGCATCCTATTGAGCCGGCCCATTCACGCACGCATAGTTGAAAAAAAGAACTAGGGGCGCGTCCTACTGGAGGCTAACTCCAACGGTCTTCTTTAGGATTTTTTTCCTTTTTCTATTTTATTTTGTTTCTTTTCTTTGTTTCTTCTTTGTTTTATTTCCATTCTTTTTCATTCATTTTTGCGTTTTGTTTCTTTGTTTTTATTTTCTTTTTCCTTTTGTTTATTTTGTTTCTATTCTGGTATTATTTGTTCTTTTGGTTATTATTCTATATTTTTTAATTACACGTAACATTTTTCCAATACAAATCGTACATTTTTATAATACATGGTCAACATATTTTTCATACACAGTTTTAACATTTTTCAAATACAAGTTTAACCTTTTTTAATACATGGTCAACATTTTTTCTATACATTTAAAACATAATACATGGCCAACATTTTTTATACATTTTTTAAATGCCTGATTCATAGTTTCAAATAAAAAGATTAAAATGTTTTGAATCCATGGTCAGCATTTTTCTATACATATTTAAAATTTACCGAACGCTTGATTAACATTTTCAAACACTTATTCAACATTCTTTTCAAATACTTTCTCCGTCCTAAAATAAGTGTCTCAAGTTTGTACTAACTTCAGTACAAAGTTGAACTAAGTTTGAGACACTTATTTTGGGACGGAGGGAGTACTTAATTAGCAATTTTATATACATGATCAAATTTTTTCATCATTTATTTAATACATTGTCAATATTTTTTCTATACACATTTAACATTTTCCCAAATGCTTGATTAATAATTTTTAAATACTTTTTCAACATTTTTCCAAATGCTTGATTAACATTTTAATACGTATGATTAATAGGATTAATCATTTTTTAATAAGTGAACAACATTTTTTGTATACACGTTCAACATTGTCTGAACGCTTGTTCAACATTTTTCAAATACTTGTTCAAATTTTCTTAATACTTATTAAACATATTCAAATACTTGTTCAACATTTTTCAAATACTTATTTTTTAAATGCTTTATTAACATTTTTATCTACATGATCAAGAAATTTCGTCACATTTAACATTTTTCAAATGCTCTGTCTAAGATTTTTCTAATACTGGTTCAATGTTTTTTTTTCAAATGCTTGATTAATATTTTTATGCCATGAATTCAAGATATCAATCTTGAAGTAAGCACTTTGATGTGAGAAATTATTGGATTCGAGATGTTGCGAGTTCCAAGTTGCTACAACTTGAGTAGATCCATACCGCAACAATGGTTTTGATATGATAACCAAGATATTGCCAAACGAGAAGCTACAAACATATTGCAAGGTAGTGGGCGTGGTGGTGCCCCCCTCATGAGTCAGAGGGGGAATTCACTAGGATATACTCCTTATGTGGGTTGTGAGAAGATGACCATTTGGAATCTTTTAGGCAACCCAAAGCTGGGTCAAAACCCACTACCCATTAGGGTTATGACATAGGTTATTTTGGACTTTGCTCATGAAGGAAGGGGTATGTTTTACCATCCCATCCAACAAACAACAAGCAATGTGACAAATCTCAATTGAGCCTCCATTGGAGAAGAAACGGGAAGAAGCTTGCTATCAAGCAAAGGGATCCCATCCCCAAGGTTGTGAAATCTAGATCCACCATTTTGTCTCCTTGAAGCTATGGTTCCACCAACTTTGATGAGATTGTTTCAATCCCTAACTTTTGTGGACTCAAATCTTATTCTTATTAGTATCCAAGATGCATAAATCTTGATATATGGGATCCTCTAGTGCTACCTATAGAAGTACATTTTGTTTCCTAGATTTGATAGTAGTGGAAGAAGATTTGGATGGCTTCGACCCGTGATTTATATCCCAAGTTGGAGGGTCTCCCACGTTAAAAATCTGGTGTCATATGTGTTGATGTTCCCCTGAACCCAGACATCATCTAAGGAGCATATGGGATGTTGTGTGGGCTATTTTCTCCATATATGCTGCTGCATAGGTTTGTTTCGGCGCTAAGCAACGATCCTTAAATTAGTATATGAAGTAGTATTGGGATTATTCTGTTTCCACTGCAATTTTAGACCATAATCGTTTGCTAATTCCCAATGCTCGGTTGGTGTCATCAAATTAGCAAAGGCATGTTGTATTTTGTTGCACTATTGAGCATGCAGGCAGAAGCTCGCAAATCATAAAATACAAATGCAAGAAGCAAAGTATTGAGGTGAACATGAGAAAATATTGCAAAGAAGGACATGTATGTAACCTGTGATTTTTGTTTCTACAAAGCCATGCCAGAAGCAAAAACTTGAACAGAGAATGACATGTGCACCAACCCAACATTATATCCCTGACAAAAAGATGGTGGATCGTCATGTCAAGGACCGAAGGAGTACCCCGATGTCACTCCTCGTCCACCTGAGTGCTTCACCAATTGCGTACTATGTGGCAGCGAGCGAATGGGGAGGCAGTCAAGCAGATGGTTTGTCCTTCAAGTAAGGCAGGATGTGTTTTCTCATGTCACTGTTGGAGATGTCCAGGTGATCTCCTGCCACCGACACGAACTTGACTCGCCCGACGTCATCCAGGGCCTTCAGACCAATCCAGTCTTCCTGATATAGCTTTGTCTGCAAACCATATTTTGGTAAGTTCAGTGAGCCAAAACTGACTCAAAATTTCATCAACTCGCTAAGACACATCACTAGTCCAACATGAAGAACAAAAATTGTACCTGCTGAGGAGGTAGGACTGGATCAAAGGCTCCATCAGGGTAATAACCAAACCATGACGTCTCCCTCGGTATGAGGACGGTATCATTCTCAAACTGCATAGCATATTAGGGCAAAACATTAAGTGCATCAAAATATTACTTCAATTACTAGTCTCTATTAAGCACCAGAGCTTTATAAGAAAATTTGAAAAAGTGTTGTAATGCTTAGATACAAGATTTTTGTGTGACTCATGACTTATGACAGAGTAAACACAAGGAATCTTCTTCAAAGGAAAATCTTTTCTTGCCCATCTATCTATGTGCCATGTGTGATACTAAATGTGAAGAAACTGCTCTTCATCTCTTCTCGGATTGTCCATTTGATCTTAGTTGTTGGGACTCAATTATGGTTGAGAGGAAAGGAGGCATTAATGTTTCTGGATGAATTAAGGTTCATGGCAGATTTCCTACCCTCTTAGTTCACAACGGATATTATCATTATGGGTTGCTGCCACCTATGGATGCAGAGAAACTCCAAGGTTTTCAAAGCAATAGCTCCTTCTTCAGTCTTGGAGGGTTCAGCTTAGAAATGATCTTCAGTTGATTATTCTCAAGACAAAGAACATGCATAGAGATGCTTTCAAGCAGTGGATTGAAATAAATCTTATTTAATTTCTTTATGGAGTTCACTAGAACTGGTGTTGGTTAGTTGTCCTATTTTTTGCTTGTGTATTTGTAAATATTATTTTTTAATGAAAATTACCAGAGAACAATTGTTCTATGCTCTTCGGTTAAAAAAATATTATCAGTCTCTATTATGAATCTTTGAAAGGGGAAGACACCTACTAAATGCATACCCTAGTTGTACATGTTCATGTTATTTTGTTGTTTTGGTGCACACAAGAAATACTTGTGTGTTTGAGCTATGCTTGAAATATTTGTCAGTTCACATTCTCATCAACATTTATTGTTGCATGAACAGGGAAATAACCAAGCAATGACTTCAGAAAATCGACTCCCGCTGCATTTCAAAACAGGGGAAAAGTGAAGTCCATTTTGAATTTTGATATTCCATGCCAAATTCAAGTATGCTACTCCCTCTGTCCCATAATATAAGAGTGTTTTTGACACTACACTAGTGTCAAAAACACTCTTATATTATGGGACAGAGAGAGTACCATATAATATTTGAACGTGGATCAAAATGTGGTTTGAGACATTATCAGCCTTACCATGATCAGTACTAAATTCTCTAGGTTGCTGAACCTTTCCTTGTGGGCAGCATTTCTTTCACCTAGTATCTCATTGTTAAGTTTGGGAAGAAACCTGCATCCCTTCAGATAATCATCTATATCCTGAAAAAACAGTACATCTTCGGTGACTAGGAATATATCATCGAATATTGGTCTGGTTTAGATCCAAGATTTATGTTTAAAGATCAGTCAATGTTTTCTTACGGTCTTCCACTCTGAAGTAGACGCAAAAACTAAAAGCTAAACACGCATCAAGATTGCCTACTTAAAATTCTTCGGAGAGCAAGTGAGCGACAAAGAAAAATAGAACGTCAAACTACCCATAAATAAAAATCAATATTTTAAATAGCGGGCTATAGAAAATAGCGGCGGGTCTCCAAATCAGTTAAAGCGGGCTATTTGTGAAGGCGACCATTTAGCGGCTCCCTACTAAAAAGGCTATAGCAAGCTATAGCCGGCTATTTAAAACTATGATAAAAATATGAAATTCACTATTACTCAGATATACCTGAGCCCCGTCAGTACCCAATAACAGTTAACGGAACAGCACAACAAGAAATTTAAGAGTTCAAAAGAGTGCAAGTTCAGCAAATGATAGATATATCAGCGTAAAGGTGAATTCCTATTGGTGATGGCCTCAAGAAATGCAATGCAACTCACAGTTGGGATCTTGATGTAACCACTTGGCGCAAGATGTGCCTGTAATTCAGCACGACTCAAGTTAAAGTCTCTCGTTTATTAATACTAGCACGACTAGAGTTTGGGAAGTGACTAAGCCAAGATATAAATACCTGCACGTAGTCTGAGTAAATCTCGGATTTGATCAGGGCATCAACAATAACACAGAAAAAACCAGACTGCAGAAAAGAGATGTACAATGTTCGGAGGCAATCAGACTCTTGGTTGAATTGGATAAACTGGATATTAGCTAGCTGGGGATAATGAGATCAACTTACACCGCAGTGTGGCGCGGAAGCAGTACCGGCATGAGGCCCAGCGAGTGAGATGAAATTCTTGACCTGTTACAAGTGTGAGGATACATAACTTACTGCACAAAAACCGAATAGCATTCTCTGCGACCCTACTGATCAATCAAAGCTTAAAATTGAGGCATTGTATGCATGTTTTTGAAAAAAGAAAAACTCTCACTAATGCGCATGCTACTCCCTCCGTTTGTAAATATAAGTCTTTTCAGAAATTTTAATATGAACTACATACGAATGTATATAGATATAGTTTGAAGTGTACATTCACTCATTTTGCTCCGTATGTAGTCCATATTGGAATCTCTAAAAAGACTTATATTTTGGAAGGGAGGTAATAATAGATATGAACACAGAGACCCAACACACATTCACAATCACAAGCATCCAGATTACCCATTCAGGTGCATGCTTGTACAATTTCGAAAGCAACTCATTACTCACCGGTGGTCCATCGTCACAATACTCGACTACTGCCCGGCCAACCAAGTTCCCCTGTGGAAGCACATAATGTTTAGTAGAAGAACAACACATTTCATAGATTGTGTTATAGAAAAATGCCAACAACATACTTACAACATACTTATATACTTATATACCTGAGACAGACCAACAATGTTATAGCCGCCGCTTAGCTCTTTCATCTCCTTTACCTGCAGAAACAAATTACCAGGCAGGCATGGATGATGAATATCTATCTACTCAGCATACAGGATACAGCAGAGGAAAAGGCATCATCATCGCCCAAATCGCCGAATCGATCACCTTGTTGCACATGATATCAGCCTGTTCCTGGAGAGGCATGAGCCAGGAGTCCCGTGCCCCATTTCCAATTTCTCTGAACACAAGCGAGCACAATGAGTCAAACTCCAGTGCCGGAAGGGCGTACGTAGAAGACGCATATCTAAGTACGTACAGGCAGTGGCCGTCGGCGGCGGACCAGTCGGCCAGGAGCCGGGTGAACTCGGCGACGCTGCTGTCGGTGCACTGGCCCCCAATCCCTGCTCCTCGAACCAATCAGTCAATAAGCCATGGACGGAAGCAGAGTAAGCGAGCGTGGACCGACCGTGCAGAACGACGAAGGGCAGCGCCTCCGCGGGGGTGAGGAGGAGGAGGAAGAGGAGGGGGAGGACGGCAGCGGCGAGGCGCGGAGCTCTCGGCGGCATCAGCGCCATGGCTTGGCGTCGGAGGGACACACGAGAGGACGTCGCTCACTCTTAGACTGGCCGCGTGTGTCTCGACCGTGTTCGAACTTATAGCTAGCTCTGTAAACTAATATAAGAGCGTTCTATTTTAGTATTTTAAACACTCTTATATTAGTTTACAGAGGGAGTAGTAAGTAGGAGTACTCTACTCGTATAAAATTTTGATTTTTTTCCAGATTCGCTGAAAGTTAGTCAACTGAGCAAGTCTCGGTCGACATCCTGTCCTAATCGTTAGATGTAGAGAGCTTAAGGTTTATACGGCCAGCCGGTGTCGATTTCTGGTCAAATATTAGCGCGTAGAAAGCTGGGTGTCGCGCAAACGCGCAACCGCAGCCCCCCTAGCATTCCTGTGGGCCGACTCCTATAGGACTTGGTCAACTCTTTTTCATCGGTTCTTTCAGCTAGTTGTCCTTCCACCAAGATTATTCAGCAAGAACTTGGTCAAACTGCGTGTCATAGTTTTGCTTTTTATTTAAAAAACAATTATTGTAAGGTGCAGAGGTAGCTATTTCATCAGAGATCCACCAAGATTTTTGCATTATTAATCCCGTAGCTACGAATGGTGATGCCCGACGTTTTGACTGCATATTGAAACTGGCATAAAAAAATTCAAAACAGATTTAGAAAAATGCAAAAATCTTCACATTGTATCATTACATGTGACATATATTCCGAGAAAATTAACAAATATCTTTTAAAAAATGTTCTGAGAGATGAACTATCATGTATGAAGATTCATGTCTAACAAAAATAAACCAATGTTATGGTCACATTCAAGGCATAGTTTGTTCAAATAATCTCATATTTTGCAGAAGTGTGCATCATGGAATGACAAACAATATTGCCAAAGTGAGTTTTCATTTTCTTTGCACAATTTTTTTTCATTTTCTAAGTGCCAAAAATGAGTTTTTTTAAGAACCTCACAAATACTTGTTGCAAACTTGGACCACTACATTTTTTAAAAACATTAGACCACATATTATGTACAATTGACCAAATGGATGCATGTCAAAAGGTTTCCATCCACCTCTCATCTAAAAGACAAATTTTCGCTGATTCAGTAATAACTAGATCGAATTTGAACTATAGGTGCTTTATAGTTTGCTTTTTATTTTTTCAAAAAAATATTTTTAGATACACAAATAGCTATTTAATCAGTGCCACTAAGATTTTCTCATTATTAAGCCCCTCGCTATGAACGGCCAGGCCTGAGATTTTGACCATATTTTGAAACAAGCATAAAAAAATGGAAAACCTCCGAGGGCAACGACCTTGGCAACAAGGGAAGGGCCGGCGGCCACGGATGGAATCATTATGGACGAAGGGGACGCGAGCAGCGATGGATGAGTCCTAGACAGGATCTTGAAGATTCGTCAATAGTGGCCGAGCATTGAAAGTAGGAAGATGTCACGACTTACGCGTCAACGCACGATAAGCTAATTACTATCCAAACAAAAAATTATACAGCCGTGATTATTACTCTCCTAACCCAAGCATAATTTTGCATAAACTAGTAATCGATAATACTGTAAAACGGGTTTTTGCCAAAAAAACAGCTAAAAACTGATTTTCTATATTCTCGTGGCCAACACTCCGTGTCCAAACTAGAGTGCCCAGTTGAATTGTCCTAGTGATAAACTCACATGATTGGTCAACACCCAATAATACAAAAATTATAATTACTACCGGCCTACTAACAACGCAATAATTGAGGAAAGTATCGTTTTCCCTCCGAAATCCTCTTTGATGGATCAATTTCCCCCTCAACTCTAATACCGGATTAATCAGCCCCTCAAATCTTTAAAACCGGATCAATTCCCCCCTAAAGTGGTTTTGGACTTGATTCTGAGTGGTTTTGACCCAGACCGCGTACCCGCTCTGCTCTCCTCTGTTTCGTCTCGCTTCAGGTCCTGCCAGTCAGCGGCGTCGAGTACGCGCTCCAGGGCTCTGCCTCCTCCCCGCGCGACGCCTCCACAGAGTCATCCTTGTCGTCCTCCACCCCTAGCTGCTAGGCCGTGAACAAGAAGAAGATGCCCACAACGTCCATTAGCAGGGGCTACGGCCGGTGCAAGAACTGGAGTTCCTTCGACATCGGCGAGTACCATGTGGCCGCCGCGCAGTGGTGCTGGGGCGGACGCGGCTACGCGGACCGGCGAGAGACACCGCCGGTATTGGGGCCCAGAGTCGTCTCCGCCACAAGAGCCTACGACAGAGCTCAAAGCCGACGAGATCTCGCTGCCGCCATCATCCAGCAGCCCCGATGCGCTGGCGAAGCTCATCAAGAACGACGCATGCATGGCTGCCGCTTCGAACACCGTCGCCGCTCGCCGGGAAGAAGAGAATGTGGGCCTGGTGCAGCAGGGTGTGATCGCGGGCGGCCGAAGTAGCGCGTTGGCGGTGCTGATGCAGCTCATCTCCTGCGGTGGCCAAGCGGGACACCTGTCAGAGCGGTGCGAGGTACACAGAGCGGTTCCCGCATGGGGCATTCGGACTTGAGCAGCAGCATGGCATCAGATGGCTTCTCGGGAAGCACCGGCGTCCGTGTAGGCATGGAGTGTGAGTACTTCTGCGGCAGCCTGCTCGAGACCTAGAAGACAGAGAGCGGCGAGCATGCCGGCCACGGAGGCGAGCTGGCGGCACTGAAGACGCGAAGTGCACGGTCATAACCGAGAGAAGTGCACGGTCTGGGTCAAAACCACTCAGAATCAAGTCCAAAACCACTTTAGGGGGGAATTGATCCGGTTTTAAAGATTTGAGGGGCTGATTGATCCGGTATTAGAGTTGAGGGGGAAATTGATCCATCAAAGAGGATTTCGGGGGGAAAACGATACTTTCCTCCGCAATAATTAAACAGATGTCAAGCCCGGCTGGTCGGTCTAAGATGGATGGCTAAAGAAAAAGAACTGCATCTCAGGCCCGATTGAACTCCCAACAGATCACCGGAGTCAGTCACACACAACTTTGCTAGAATCCTCCTTGGGATCACTGCCCATCGCTCGAGGAGCAATCGTCGCGCAATCTATTAGTTATCACCCTTGGAGTTCGCCTCTTCTTCTCAGTCATGTCGCGTGGCTCAGAGCTAGAATGCACGGATCCCTTGGCTGCTGCAGGCGGCGAATCAACTGCTGGCATCGGCTCCGTCCCTTCGGAAAGGGTAGCAGAGGTTGGCGCTGGCATCGACTCCGTCCCCTCGGAAAGGTCAGGCGCTGGCACTTGCGCGGGTGCAGGTGCAGGTGCAGGCCGTGTTGCTAGGTGAGGAAGACCAAAGTAATGCCTCACGGCTGGCCTCCGAATAGCTGAGACAAGAAATCATAAGGTAAGGCCAGGTTTAATACTACACATTAGGAAATGCGAAAGGAGATGAACACAAGGCCTGAACACTGCAGTGCTAACGAGTTACCAAATCCGTGTTGCTAGGTGACGCACCCGTCCCACAAAACCAAGACGTTATGAACTCTTGGCAGGCACGTGCTGATGATTACTCCCTCGTTCAGTGCGGCATGCTTTACAGCTTAGAACCGGGGCTCCAAAAGCTTTTTGAGCGACACGGAGCATATGAGATGTTTGAAGAGCTGAAAATGGTTTTCCAAGCTCATGCCCGGGTCGAGAGATATGAAGTCTCCGACAAGTTCTTCGGCTGTAAGATGGAGGAAAATAGTTATGTCAGTGAGCACATACTCACTATGTCTGGGTTACATAACCGCTTGACTCAGCTGGGAGTTAATCTCCCGGATGACGCGGTCATTGACAGAATCCTCCAGTCGCTTCCACCAAGCTACAAGAGCTTTGTGATGAACTTTAATATGCAGGGGATGGAAAAGACCATTCCTGAAGTATTTGCAATGCTGAAATCAGCAGAGGTAGAAGTCAAAAAGGACCATCAAGTGTTCATGGTGAATAAAACCACTAAGTTCAAGAAAGACAAGGTAAGAAGAACTTCAAGAAAGACGGCAAGGGAGTTGCCGCGCCCGGTAAGCAAGCTGCCGGAAAGAAGCCAAAGAATGGACCCAAGCCCGAGACTGAGTGTTTTTATTGCAAGGAAAGTGGTCACTGGAAGCGGAACTGCCCCAAATACTTAGCGGACAAGAAGGCCGGCAAAACGAAAGGTATATGTGATATACATGTAATTGATGTGTACCTTACCAATACTCGTAGTAGCTCCTGGGTATTTGATACCGGTGCAGTTGCTCACATTTGTAACTCAAAGTAGGAGCTGCGGAATAAGCGGAGATTGGCGAAGGACGAGGTGACGATGCGCGTCGGGAATGGTTTCAAGGTCGATGTGATCGCCGTCGGCACGCTACCTCTACATTTACCTACAGGATTAGTTTTGAACCTCAATAATTGTTATTTAGTGCCAAGTTTGAGCATGAACATTGTATCAGGATCTCGTTTAATATGAGATGGCTACTCATTTAAATCCGAGAATAATGGTTGTTCTATTTATATAAGAGATATGTTTTATGGTCATGCTCCTATGGTGAATGATTTATTCTTAATGAATCTCGAGCGTAATGCTACACATATTCATAGTGTGAATGCCAAAAGATGTAAGGTTGATAATGATAGTCCCACATAATTGTGGCACTGCCGCCTTGGTCACATAGGTGTCAAACGCATGAAGAAGCTCCATACAGATGGACTTTTAGAGTCTCTTGATTATGAATCATTTGACACGTGCGAACCATGCCTCATGGGTAAGATGACCAAGACTCCGTTCTCAGGAACAATGGAGCAAGCAACCAACCTATTGGAAATCATACATACTGATGTGTGTGGTCCAATGAGTGTTGAGGCTCGTGGTGGCTATCGTTATGTTCTCACCCTCACTGATGACTTGAGTAGATATGGGTATATCTACTTAATGAAACACAAGTCTGAAACCTTTGAAAAGTTCAAGGAATTTCAGAGTGAGGTTGAGAATCAACGTGACAGAAAAAATCAAGTTTTTGCGATCAGATCGTGGAGGA